GCCCCCCCCCCCCTGTATCCGCCACTGCATGCTTGCATCTTGAATAATTGATTTATAACTGACTTTGATTGATTTGACAAATGAGCGTTTTTAATCATCATTTTTATATAAATCATCACTGGACTTTCTGAAACTGTCAGTCATAACCCCGCTGGTCCTGTCCCACAACCATGTCACATGAATGATTAGCTCTCCTTAAAAGGAATTCAGGGAGCTCCGCAGCGCCGGCCCAGAAATTGTCTTAACCTAACCTAACCCTCAAATAATACTGAAATAAATAGCTGGCGTAGGTCCGATATTGCAGTATGTCGGAAAGTCAGTAGGTCAGAAGTTCAGTAGGGGGGATGTTGCGTGTAGACGATGTAACATTACCAATTTTTATAATCTTAACAAATGTCGTCTTATCTGAAGTGAAAATACGTTGTGAAATAATAAATGCCGCAATGTCAGTTTCAATCAACATGGCGACATGAGAGGACGCTGTGAATTTTAAAAAATCATTTCGAAGAAAGATACCCACAATTGACAGTTACGACGTATAGTTTGATTTTCAAACATGACCTTATAGTCAATAAAATACATTTAAATTGTTTTCAGAGTGAATAGTTTAGACAAAATGACGATTATCACGAGCGACAGCAAGGCTCCGGTGAAAACCGTGAAGCGAGTACAATTCGGCATTCTCTCGCCGGAGGAAATTCGGCGAATGAGTGTAACAGAAGGCGGAATAAGGTAGTTTAAGATGTTTTAATGTAATCTTCAAATTGTTTTATGATTTACTAACTAGTTCATTCCATCACAACGCATTCTTTTGTTATTTCAATTATGGCGCTAATTGCTAGTTTTTATTATAAACTCTTAAAAATTCTTAAAGAAAATATACCCACATTTAAATTTTCCGATCAAGTGATCTGAAAATATAGTGGTTTAAAATCCGACAATTTATAAGATTAACTGAAAACTAATGAAAGAAAATGAGTATATATCCTTTATTTGATGTTTATTCCAGATTTCCTGAAACCTATGAAGGAGGTCAGCCTAAACCTGGTGGACTTATGGATCCTAGACAAGGGGCTGTAGATCGAGGATCAAGGTAAGTTTAGTTTCAACTGACCCTCCCCCCCCTTTATAAAATTGCATTTTCGGGTCCGTCCTAGTATACGATTTTTGGACCCCGCCCCCCTCCTATCAATTTTGTACATGACCATTTATTTTTGAGCAAATTTATTATTATTTATTTTTTTGTTATTTAGGGTTAGGTTAGGTTAAGATACTTTCTGGGCCGAGCGCTGCGGCTAGGATGNGGAGCTATCTTCTAAAACAAAAAAGTTAGAGCCATTTGAAATATAGAGGCCGGCCTCGAAATCTCGAAATATTGGAAACTTTCCGGAGCCATATCTCCGGCCTCGGAGGTCTCAGAACGCTCATCTTCGGGTTCTGGGATTTTTTTTCATATCCCAAATTGTATGCAAAATTTCAGCAAAATCTGTGACATGCCGTCCATGGGTGGTTGACTTGACATGGAATGACCCTTGCCACTTTTACAGAGAAAACCACAGTGAAAAATAATTTGTTAAATATATGCCAAGGTTTCAAGGTTTTGTGTAAAACTTCTTAATGTTAAAACATGGATGCTACATGTAATCTTCTTAATCAACCAAAACATGAATGCTACATGTAATCTTCTTAATAAACCAAAACATGGATGCTACATGTAATCTTCTTAATCTACCAAAACATGGATGCTACATGTAATCTTCTTAATCTACCAAAACATGGATGCTACATGTAATCTTCTTAATCAACCAAAACATGGATGCTACATGTAATCTTCTTAATCAAACAGAACTATTATGGGGACAAGATTGAATAGATAATATGTACACCAAAACATAAATAAGGTTTAGTTTAGTTTTTGGATTACTCCCGAGGACCCCTTCAGGGGCGTTGTAGGAGTTACATTGGTAAACATAATAAATCTGCAATAGAAGTTTCTTGTTATTTCTTCTATTAGTAAATTAAGGCAGATTTATTAAGCATTTACGTATGGATATAATGTAGAATATAAGTTTTCCGTTTTTTTGATGGCATTGCATTTCTGTTTTATCGAATAAACTCGTCTAAATCTTTGACATTTTCTTTTTTCTTTTTAGCTGATCAATGTTGATAAAATTCTATTTTCTAGGTGTAAGACATGTGCCGGAAACATGATCGAGTGCCCAGGACATTTCGGTCATCTTGATCTAGCAAAACCTGTTTTCCATCCTGGCTTTCTCACCAAAACCCTCAAGGAATATTCAAAATATAAATATAATTGTATTGAAAAAATACTGTTGTTGTTTTCGTAGAGAATAAGGAAGGATATAAAATATTCTTTCAAAACTGATACCATTAAGCTTTTTTACCAATCAGTTTACCAGTTTTCTACCAGAAAGGGAATGGTATATTTTAAAAGTTATCAAAGGTTGTAAAGCCTCCCGCTTAGAATCAAACCAGAAGTTGTAATCCTATTCAGAACTATACAAGTTGGTGTTCAAAGTTCCTGACTCTTTAAATTACAAAGCTGGAGCATCCTTTTCGAAGTTTTTTATTGTGTATATTTATTAACCATTTATCTCACCGTGTTCCAAGAGAAGATAAATATTTTATATTACTAGCCTAAGTGCCTGGCTTTTCCCATGGAATTTTAAATACACTTTTGAAAAAATATCGAATTGTGAAAGAAAAAATGCCTATTTTACCCATTGGTTTCCAAAAAAAATGAGTTAATTTGGTTTAGCCGTAATTGGTCCAACATAATTATATTAGCGAAGAGCTTTATTTTAATCGAAGACTATCTCGGGAACCCAACTTTGCCTGGAAACTAAACTATTGCTAACAAATTCAATCCACTCCACTTAAACTTTAAAAACCAAGCTAAGAACGTTCCCTTGGTTCTACCGAGTTCCCCAATCTAATTTAAGGCAAATTGTTAATGGGGTTATGAATTATGATGAGACTAACACTAACAGAGATTACTTCTTGATATATACAAGTTATAATATTGAATATCTGATGAGCTAGGTTCTACGGTGTGTTTGCTTCTACTGTTCCAAGATGCTGGTCACACCTACAAATCCTAAAATAAAAGAAATTGTGATGAAATCAAAAGGAAACTTCATCTTAGACCGTAGTTCTCTCATAGTTTCATGCATTTGACTTGTTTTAGTGTCGGATATTTCCTTAACCCTCTCCTCCGCCGTGGGGGAGGGGGGATATTTCTTGAAAATATATCCAGTTGGGATGTTTTTTCCATCGTGCATTTATTTTGCAATTTTTTTTCCATTTGAAAATGAATTATATTTCTCCTATGATATGCTTTTTGATTATGACACCCTCTCAAATTTAAAATATTACTTAGGATCTATTTCATTTTTATGCTAATCAAGGGCCTGATTCCTGGGCATAATATCTTTTCTTTTGCTAGAAACAAATTTCCCAAGTTTTCTCCTTAATTCTGGTTTCGCAATTTTTATAACACAGTTTGATTTACCCAAGGTACTAATGCAAGGAAAGTTAATTGCGGTTGTGTGTACTCTGCGTACATACTGAAACCAGTTCTCTCTAGGCGGAATTTTTAAACTAGAATAGATGGATCAGTGTTCGTTTAGTATCCGAGGAGGATTAAAGCATGTAATAATGATAATTTTGATAATTCACCTAATAGTTTCCTATGACAAGAATATTTCATAGATTATTTTTGTGAAAATGGGTTCCATGTCAGGCAGTGGAATCCGTCTTGTTTTTACTTTTCCACCCAAAGACAGTACATTGCATTACAAAAAATGCGTACACCTCTGAAATAACTTTCCTTGCATAAGTACCTTGGATTTACCATTCAATGGCTAGGAAAGGTTTAATGATAAATTTGTTGGGCCTAACAATGTGTGTTCACATAACAACAAGTTGTATTCCAGATCTATTAATGTTAAGATTGCCACTGGATCCAAGGAGCTAAAATCTTGCGAATCTTTAGATCCAGATCCTCAGCACTCATTTAAAGCTTGACCCCCCCCCCCCATTTAATTTGGGTTAAGACGAAGCTCCCCCTAGGACAACCTCGGAAACGATTAACCCACGTGTACGATCTGTGCAAGGGTAAGAAGATCTGCGAGGGAGGAGACGAGATGGATCTAAACCCAGACAATCCTGAGAATGCGGTCAACCAGGTTCGGGGAATATTTTATATTTAAATGATGCGTTTACTATATTTTGCCTAAAAAACGGTAAAGATAAATTTGCGTCGAGTTATTACTGAATTTAGACAAAAAAAGGAAGTTTTGGTTTCATAGTAGCAACAAGGGAAACAACTTGCTAGTCCTTACTTACTTGTTACTTGTAGAATAATCTGCAGAGGGCCTCCAGGTCCATAGCGCAGATGTCGGTATAGTCCTCACGGAACAGTGTGCTTCGTCTGATCTGAGCTTCAGATTTAGCCTCGCTCAATATTTTAAATTCTTTTATCGATGTCTTAGAAATGTTAAAATTATTATTTTTGCTTAAAATAGGTTGTTTGTATGAAGAGAGAAAACAGATTTTTTTTATTAATAATTTTATTTATTAGAAATCAGCAATGTGTCTTCAAATTTGAACCTATAGATGTTAACAATTAAAAAGAATTTAACTTATTTCTTGGTCTGTTTGGCTCCAAATTGGGTTTCCCTGAAGACTTGAAGAGTATCGCGTTGTCTTCCATAATCTTACATTTATGATTGCTCATTTATTTTGGGTCATACATTAGCTTTCTTTAATCTTGTGCTTTTAGGCTAAAACCATGGTGGTTGTGGTCGTTAATAATCTTACATTTATGATTGCTCATTTATTTTGAGTCATACATTAGCTTTCTTTACTCTTGTGCTTTTAGGCTAAAACCATGGTGGTTGTGGTCGTTAACAATCTTGCATTTATGATTGCTCATTTATTTTGGGTCATACATTAGCTTTCTTTCATCCAATGCTTTTAGGCTAAAAACCATGGTGGTTGTGGTCGTTATCAGCCGAATATTCGGAGAACTGGGCTTGATATGACAGCGGAATGGAAACAGATTAACGAGGATACACAGGTAAACCAAGGGTTTATATTTCCACCCTCACTCCTCCTCCTGATGGCATATAAACTTTTAAATCAAAAAGCTGCCGATTAAAATGTGCTTAAAGAATAAGTACCGTTTTTGGCAGGTTTAGGAGAAAGACGAAACCTATAATTAATCTTATACAAGCTTAGGAATACAGCTTAGCGTTGAAAATAGATTTTTGAACAGGACTGAAAACCTTATCATGGTTCCCTGATTAAACTTGATGCAAATAGGGGTTCTTAAGCATGATTGGACATTTAGACAAACACATCAGACAAACAGAGATTACAACTTTATTTCCATCATATGGCATATTTAAATACAATTTAATTCATGAACTAAATCCTGAGTTGGTTATTCTCAGATTTAAAAGTTGCAAATTGGTATAATTTATTTATTTGTATAATAGGAGAAGAAGATAGTTCTAACAGCTGAACGTGTACATGAAATATTCCGTCATATATCTGATGAAGAATGTTATGTACTAGGAATGGATCCCAAGGTAAAAATTGTCAATTGCTCATGGTTCAATCGGAAAGTTACCGTATCAAGAGAACCGAACTCAAATTGTACTGTATGACTTGGCATCTTGAATATCAATAAGAGATAAATAAATTACTTGGTTTCTTTCCCATTTAAGAAGACAAATTTTTTAAAAATTATACATTTATTTTGTCTAGTTTGCACGTCCTGACTGGATGATAGTGACTTGTATGCCAGTTCCACCGTTGTGTGTTCGGCCAGCTGTTGTTATGTTTGGATCAGCTCGTAACCAGGACGATATCACACATAAACTTGCCGATATTCTAAAGGTAAAATATCATCAAACATTATTGTAAAAGGGAATAATCGGGGAAAAGGGAGAAAGGGGCCAGCAAAATGTTACTTTTAACAATAAAAATATTTTAAAACAAATTATTCATGTACAAAATGTATGCCCCTAATAGTCCTTGGACCCTGTATTTATTCTAAAAAGTTTTCTTCCTTGATATGCCTAAACTTGTTAGCTCTCATGTGCAAGAATAAAATTTGCATATTTGTTTAATAACTGCTACGAACAAAGAAAAATTCTGAGATAGCGAAGGGTGAAAATTTCTTGCCACTTAAAGATCTTCCAGTTTAATTGGATTGTATTGTTTAGGCCAATAACGAGCTGAAGCGTAACGAGGAATCTGGCGCTGCGGCTCACATTCTCTCTGAGAATATCAAGATGCTTCAGTTTCACGTCGCAACACTTTCCGATAATGACATGCCTGGCCTGCCTAGAGCCATGCAGAAGTCAGGCAGACCTCTCAAATCCATTAAAGCTAGACTGAAGGAAAGAATTTTATACATTGTTATGCAGAGTTTAGTAAAAAGATGATTGTCGGTTGACTGTTTTGATGATGCTTAAAAATGGTGAATTTTAATTTAAAAGTTTCTCAAATTACAAAATTACGGAGCCAAGAGACAAAAAATAACAAAAATTAAACTCTTGCTTGTACATTTTTGAACAAATCAAAGCATAAAGTTTCATCCAGAAACGTTTTGAATTGATTATTTTCAACCGTAATTTTGGTCCTTTTTAATATTTTCCCCCAAGGTTTATATCTAATCCTCGTACAAATTGGATTCATCCTAAAATCTTGTTTTTAATTCTGATTTATTATATATATAAATATTAAATATATATTAAATGTATAAACTCCGTTGTGTAGAGTAAAGAAGGAAGGATCAGAGGAAACTTGATGGGAAAACGTGTTGATTTCTCAGCTCGTACTGTAATCACCCCTGACCCGAACCTCCGGATCGATCAGGTCGGAGTACCCAGATCTATCGCACAGAACCTCACCTTTCCGGAGATCGTGACTCCGTTCAATATCGACAAGATGCAGGAGCTCGTGAGAAGAGGCAATACACAGTATCCGGGAGCTAAATATATCATCAGGTACAAGCGTGATAAAATATTTTTTTGTGCCGTATTATGACTGATGTGAACCACTGTAACAAAGATGGTAGGGAAAGGTCCTGGGCAGGATAGGAAGTCCGGACTTGAGAAATCAATTTCTATCAAATATGTTGTTCACAATAAACCAGTTTTTGATAAGTATAATACGTACAGAGTTAAATATCACAAAACCTTAGTTCTACATACATTAATATATTTAATCCTTATCCACCACCTCAATTCTACATACATTTATGTGTTCAATCCTTTTCCACCACCTTATTCGTAAATACATTTTATTTAATTCCAATCTCTTTAAGTGTCAAGTTAAATCCTCATTTTCATTTTTCACAAATCTCGTTTATTCAACCCCTTTCCTTAATTATACAAAAAAGTAAAAAAAGTGTGGATATCAGTAATCCCTTAAACGTTTAAATTTGATTATTATTATCATAAATTTTGGATGTTTTGTAAGTTTTCATGACAGAAACAGATCTCAAGAACTGAAGAGGGTTAACCCAGACCGACATATATTTTCAAAAAATTATAAACTAACACCTATTTTTTTATTCTGAGGTTTGGAGCATATGATCTTAAAAAACGTTTTAGTTTAACATTTTTTACGATTCCAATTTGAATTGATTCAGGGATAACGGAGAAAGGATTGATTTGAGATTCCATCCTAAATCCAGTGATCTTCATCTCCAGTGTGGATACAAGGTACAGTCAACAGTCAACACACCCGTCAGTCAGGATTTGAATTGAACATTTTTCCTGATAAATCATTTGTTTTCCCCGACAAGTTTTCTGGGAGGTTCATAGCGGGGCCTCTTTTTCAGATTTCATTTCCTGATGACTCCTTATGTTATTTGTCAAATTGTGCAAAATAAATCATTTTTAGGAGAAAATAACTATATTTTTGGTTAACAAGTTTGATAAAGGATTGAAAACTTGCCTTTCCCTGGCCGATTTTTCTATTTTTCCCCCAGTGGCCTAGGGTAAAAAAGTTGTACCTTAAATCTGTGCCACTTAATTAAGATTTTAAAGCTAGACTCCTGATTTCTAGTTCTACTCACTAGTTCTCTCCCAAGTATTTTCGTCCTTTTTCAGTAACTATTGTCTATATAATAAAGCTTTTTGGTCAATGGTCATAGATATATATGTAAGCTCTAACTGGCCTAGCGGCTGGACGAAATTGCCTGAAATTGTAAATACTAGTAACCTATGAATACGCTAGGAATAACAGGCTAAACAATTCGTATATTTTCCTAATTATTATTAAAATTCTACAGGCAAAGCCGGGCATACGCAATTCCACGAAACACTTACCTTTAAATGTTGAAAACTTAAGGTTAAAAATAAAATTAAAGTTCTTAAAACCATGGTTAATTATTGAACTGAATTATCCTGGTCTCAAGTTGAACTTGTTGTTCAGGTTGAGAGACATATCCGTGATGGAGATCTAGTTGTGTTCAACAGACAGCCTACTCTACATAAAATGTCCATGATGGGCCACAGGGTGAAGGTCCTACCCTGGTCAACCTTCAGGATGAACCTCAGGTAGGAGGATATATAGTAGACTTTCTGAACAAACCAAATATTAGTAAACATCATTGAAGAACTTGTAAAAATCGCAATTGAATTGCCTATTCACTAATATAAGAATTGTAATTCAAGGGTTCACATTTTCTTGAAAATCATTCGCTTTCACAGTTACACCCCCCTCATAACATTTTTATTTCCCCAAGTTCAGATGTCCGGTTTTTTAAATTTTTCGAAATGTGTTGTCTATACCAAGTTTCAAAATAGATGAAAAATGTGTCCAATTTATTATTTTTTCCCCCCCAAGAACATCAAAAATCATTACCCCCCCCCCTTGGCCCCAGGGGTAGGTAGTTCTTAAAAATGTATACCCCTGTCGTAATTGAACAGCATATATCTTAAATAACTCTTATCTATGTTCTTTTTAGTGATACATCTCCGTACAATGCTGATTTTGATGGAGACGAGATGAATCTTCACGTTCCTCAGTCCATGGAGACCAGGGCAGAGTTGGAGAATATTCATATGACTCCACGTCAAATCATCACTCCGCAGGCAAACAAACCCGTTATGGGTATTGTCCAGGATACACTCTGCGCTGTGAGGAAGATGACGAAGAGAGATGTGTTTATTGATAAAGAATTGATGATGACGCTGCTTATGTTTCTGCCGAACTGGGACGGAAAGCTTCCTATTCCCGCCATTTTGAAGCCTAAACCACTGTGGACTGGAAAACAGCTGTTTTCTCTGATTATACCAGGTTTGCCGATTTACTAGTTTAACCCTATCAAGTCTGACGTTTAGTTTACTGACTGTTTAATAAATATGAGCTGGGTCGCTGAACTACCTTCCCCTGGTTCAAATCTTAAATTATCGAATCAAAGATATAGATCCATGAAAATTTGAATCGGTGATTCCGAATTTAAACCGGCTGTAGGTAGTTCAGTGACAGCATTAGTTCAACAAATTCGGCCCTGGTTCATCTTTTCAATCTTATCACATCCGCCACCTCGAAAATTCATAAATTGAGCAATTTGATTTGTACCAGAAGGTTTCTAATTGTTAAAGTTGCTTTTTATGTTTGGAAACGTTGAGATATACCTTAAATGTGAGTAAATAATCTCAGGATCGTTCTGAAACTATTATTTAATCATAATTTTTTGTATCTAATATTATCTTTCCTCCGCTGATATAGTCCTGTAATAGGAAACGTGAACTGTGTGCGTCTCCATGCTACCCATCCTGACTCCGAGAACGGAGGACCGTACCATTGGATATCTCCGGGGGATACCAGGGTTCTCATTGAGAACGGAGAACACATCACTGGAATTATTTGTAAGAAAACACTTGGTACATCTGCAGGTTCCCTTCTTCATATCTGCCAACTTGAGGTAATGTATTCCCTAGACCTCCCCCCTACACTCCTAAGAAAAGCTGAAAAACAAAGATTTGCTCCATTTTTGGTAAATAGGATCAATTTTTTGTACATCTTTTCTCATTCTTTTTCTTTTTTAGATTACATGGTCTTTTTTTATGAAGGGGACTGTAAACTTAATTTAAAGTGACCCTCCATGCAAAGATGGCAATGACCGATTCACACCGGTACCCTGCAAGGCTTTGTCAGATCAAGTAGGAGTTAGCTGATATCAATGTAAATGATTTTAATAACTGATTGTTTTCCAAACTGTTGGTTTCTCTACATAAGTGAATCGCTCATTTATACTACAGGAAAACATTAAGCAATGATCAGAAATAAACACTTTTAAAACTAGAAGAAAAACGACATCTTCCACATTATGGATCAGATAAAGGTATAAAGGGTACTGCTGCGAATCGGGCATTCCCATTTTTGCATGTAGGGTCACTTGAATTTATGTAGTCCTTCTTAGCTACGATTTTCGATAGAAAAATGTTAAAAAATATTTTAATTTTCAGGTCGGACATGAGGAAAATGGATTATTCTACGGAAACATTCAGACCGTGATCAACAACTGGCTTCTCATTGAAGGCCACAGTATTGGTATCGGAGATACTATTGCTGATGCTCAAACCTACTCAGATATCCTCAAAACTATCGAAACCTCCAAGGCCGAGGTCAATGAAGTTATTCATAAAGCACATTTTGACGAGCTCGAGGCAACCCCTGGTAACACGCTGAGGCAGACATTCGAGAACATGGTGAACAGGATCCTCAACGACGCGAGAGACAAGACCGGAGGATCTGCGAAGAGATCACTCACTGAGTTTAATAACTTCAAGGTTATGGTGGTGGCAGGTTCCAAGGGATCTGATATTAATGTATCTCAGGTAAAATTCTTTATACAAAAATCTTTTATGGAATCATGGTTAATTGTTAGTCTGTTTGTTTTGACAATATATTCGAGAATATACTAGAGGTTTCAACATAGATTAGAAATATGAGTTTTCGGCCATTTCTGTTTTCACTTACAGATTAGATGGTTAAGGGGAAAAAAGTTCACATTATATCATCGTTCCTTTTAGAATTTTATTAAAACTTAACTCTCGCAATAGATTTCGAGGGGAAAATTATTGTAAATCTTGGAACATTACACATGAGAAAGACATTAGAAAGAAAATCAGAAATAATGTAAAACCCCAACTCCCTACATGCACAACAAATCTATATATTAAAACAAGACATTTGTATATATATATATATATATTGCCTATAGCTGGCCAAACGGCTGGACCGATTGGGCTGGATTTTTTTGTGGACATTCATAGGTGGCGTTATAGGCTAAACAAAATTCGATGTTTTTTTCTTCAAAATGCAAATTTTTTTTCATTTTTTTCCCACGGGCAATGTGTTTATTAATTTTTGATTAATTATTAGGTTATTGCTTGTGTGGGGCAGCAGAACGTTGAGGGCAAACGAATCCCTTTTGGATTTAGAAAACGTACACTTCCTCATTTTATCAAGGTAAAACAGAATATTAAGGCTAAAGGTTTTAAATGTCAGATCTTCATTAGGATCTTGCTAATCTGCAGTGTTATGTATACTGGATAGCAGGCGGACTCCAGCTAATATTTAAGATTTGAAATTTTGCAATTCTATAATTTGGAATTCAGTTTAAAACCAATAATGATTGTATTACAGATTTAAATCAAAATCTAAATCAAAATCTATGGAATCTGGCATAAATGTTGTTTAAAATCATTTCATCCTTCATTAAATTATCCCACAGCATGATATGAATGTTTTGGTTTAAAAAAAAAAAAAATCTATATTTTTCATATTTTTCATATGAATGTTTTGGTTTAAAAAAAAATTAAAATCTATATTTTTCATAAAAATATTTACGCCTGTATGGATTATACATTAAAAACTATAATTGTCTTCTGATTGATTAGGACGACTACGGTCCAGAGTCCCGAGGGTTTGTAGAGAATTCCTACTTGGCTGGGTTGACCCCAAGCGAGTTCTACTTCCACGCTATGGGAGGAAGAGAAGGTTTAATTGATACTGCTGTCAAAACTGCAGAAACTGGATATATTCAGCGTAGGCTCATCAAGGTAATGCAGACTTTTAAAAATATTTTTGTCAGCTTTTTCTGCGTAAAGGGACTTGACGTGTCTAAATAAATGACCCTCGATTTATAGAGCAACATGTCCGACTAACATCTGTACCCTTTAAACCTTCGTCTATCAGAAAACTGATAAATTTTAATTTTGTTTTCTTTTTAAAAGTCAAATTTTTTAATTGTGTTTTCTCTATAAAAGTCTAATTTTTAATTGTGTTTTCTCTATAAAAGTCATTTTTTAATTGTGTTTTCTCTATAAAAGTCAAATTTTTAATTGTGTTTTCTTTATAAAAGTCTAATTTTTAATGGTGTTTTCTCTATAAAAGTCATTTTTAATTGTGTTTTCTCTATAAAAGTGGCTTGCGAATTTGTGTCACAAAAAAAACAATTGATGAAGTTGTTAAAATTATACACATTTAAAAGTATAAACGACGGCTTTAATCACTTAACTGTTAAGATAAAGTTGTGAATTGGGAATCGTCCTTTTTAATTGCAGGGTGACTTGAAATTATAGCGACAGTCCCATATTGTCCCTGGAGTGAAGACTCACCTAAATTTGTATAAACAATTTTATAAAATACCTAATATTTTAGGCTATGGAGGCCTGTATGGTGAACTACGACGGTACAGTTCGTAACTCTGTGGGTCAGCTCATTCAGCTGAGATACGGAGAGGATGGTCTTGCAGGAGAAGCTGTAGAGTTTCAGGTATACGTCACTGACAAGTCAAATCAAGATTGTGTGTACGCAAAATCATGGATATATAATAGACAAGCTTTGATGGTATTTTCTGGCTGGGGTGTCAAGGAGTACATTAGACATTGGACCCTGGACTTAAAATTTGCCTGCGATTTTTGTTATTAATTGTCAATGGAGTATAGGAAAACATTTGAAGTCTTCAAAACTTGGTAAGATTTAGCCTCCTCCTTTGTATTAAATAAACTGTCGGAGATGCTGAAAGATTTAAACAATCTTGGTAGTATTTAATAATTTAAATTTTAGACCTCAATATCTCACTCAATTTTTAAGGTATAAAAATGACAGACTACTTTTTGGAAATCCCAGAACAAGGAGCATTGATGCTACAAATGTCTTGAGAAGCAATGTCATGTTTACACAATATTAGTTAAAGTATCTCGTTTTGGACCCTGAACTTCCCTTATGACATTTTTTTAAGTAACTAGTTATTTTCAAGAATGAACGATAAACAGAATGAAAATTTGTCAGAATGTGCAAAGATTTTAAAATTTCACTAAACATCTAGGGTCCACTTATCTATATCAGCTGTGAAGCCCATCCAAAAGTATTACATGTACGCTGGTCCATAACAGATCAGTTGGGTAGATAGAATCATATCTATAAGCGGGGTCCGCGCGAAAAATATTTTATTAATTATACAGTTTACGCAAATGTTTCTACAATCTGCATTAATATGTTTGCAATTATGACGCAAATGATAATAAATGTGTACGGAATAATTTGACTTTAAAAATCTGGCTTAAAAAGACTTGGAACACTTTAACATGTCGATGTTATAGCATAGTAAACTTGTGCGGTTAACGTATATCATTTCAATTCGGATGAAACCTGACTAAAAATACAATTTTTTGATACATTTTTAATTTTACTTATTTTAGTCGATTAAAACTGTCACTCTGTCGAACAATGCGTTTGAGAGTAAATTCAAGTTTGATCCAACCAATGAAAGGTAAGTCTTGATTCATATAATAACGTATTGGATTTTTCCCTTTTTAAAATTTCACTGGGCTAAATTTCACTTATCAGATGAAAGAGGATAGTAGGTTTAGCCCCAAAATCCCAATATTTACGCCCCTTTGTGAATTGTCTTGAAATCTTACATGATCCCCTCTAGGTAAGAGAAAGAACTACATAGGAATTGACTCAATGCCATAAAACTCCTGATTTTCTAATCCCTTTATCATTGCAACCCAATATCGTATACATTATATATTTCAAGCTATGAATTCTGTGAGTTTTAAAAATGTAAGTTTGACCACCATTAGGTTGAAAAAATTAGAAAATTCAAATTTGTGAGCAAAGACTCGATCCCTTTACCGATTTTCTTTTAACCCTTAAAGTGTCACGTCATGACCTGTTGGACAGGCGTACCGCGCCACAACCTGCATGGGGGCAAGCGCCAGGAGGATTTTAAAGATCGATTTTGCACTCTTACTTAGCAATTTTACACCGTACAAACGTCTTATGGGTCTCAAATGATTTTTTCTACAATACTGCACTCTCAAATTAACTACCATGTCTAGCTAGACGCTCCCTTTAATATCTGTAACTGTAGGTATGTGCGTCGTGTGTTTACCGACGAGGTACTCCGTGATATGGTTGGGAGTGGTGAGGTGGTGGCAGAGATAGAACGAGAGTGGGAACAGTTACTCAGAGACAGGCATTGTCTTAGACAGATATTTCCTAAAGGAAACAACAAGGTATTAGGAATGGACGGGGGCTGCGTCCGACTAGGTTGTAATATCTCGAAAAATCGGTTATTTTTTTCCCCTATGAAAATATATTTGTACATGATTTTTTTTTTTTTGGAGGGGTGGGGTTTTATGTTGAATTTGGAAAGAAAAATTATATCCAGGGAATCGAGAAAAGTTTAAAAGTATCAAAAAGAAATTTAAAAAAAAGTGTCTTTCCAATTTTTCTTTTTTTCCTTCCAAAGCATCAAAAATCATTCCAGTATAGACATAAAACGTAAAGTTTTAATCTCAGTTTGATAGGTTTTTGAAACATACCTTTTATAACTTCTCTTTTTTAGTCGCCTGAAGTTTATTATCGACTGCAATTTATTCTCAATCCTGTTCATACTAATTTTATTTTAAAATATTGACTTATTTTGAATGGTTGGTCAAGTTATTTGAAATATTGATTGGTTGGGGGGATACACCACCAGACAGAACATTTGACAATATTAATATTTTTTAAGGTTGTACTGCCTTGTAATCTGGAGAGAATGATCTGGAATGCGCAGAAGATTTTTCATATCAACAAACGTGCTCCGATCGACCTTAATCCGTTGAAAATGATCAGAGTAAAATTTACTTTTTAATATTATGTTATACTGTTGTTAGTAGAAAGTTGTTTGATGGAATGATTGATCCTTTGGTTGATAGATATGGATGGATCGATTGATTGATATTTTGTTAATTTATTTATGTTTGTTTGATTGATTGATTGGGCGATTTATTTAGGGAACACGTGAGCTGCTGAAGAAATGTATTATTGTGCCCGGAGATGACAGACTGAGTCTCCAGGCCAACGATAACGCTACAATCCTCTTCCAATGTCTTGTCAGGTGAGGAACTAAAATTATATTGAAGCAATGGACCTTAATGGTTTGGCTCTTGTAAATATGTTCTGTAACCATGGCGCATATGCAATCTAATATCGTAGATCTATCCCCTATGGTATTAAAAACTTTGAATTTAAATTAACCAAAAACTTTTAAAAAACTTTTTTACTCTCAAACCTCAAATCCGAACTGTTGAAAAAAGAGAGACTCTAAAAATGACCCGATTTCCGAACTGTTGAAAAAAGAGAGACTCTAAAAATGGCCTGATATCCGAACTGTTGAAAAAAGAGAGACTCTAAAAATGGCCCGATATCCGAACGGTTCATCAAGTTTAAGCATAAAAATTAGCGAAAAAACGAAAGATGAATTTTAAATTCTGCTTTGTAAAAGAAAATTAGTAAATCTTAATGTTCATGATCCGGATCCATTTTTTACAGTGAGGATCTAGGATCCGGATCTGGATCCGCATTAAAATTAAATGGATCCTAAGCAATGCATTTCATATAATTAATGTTTTATTTAGGTCCACTCTTTGCACAAAGATGGTTGCGGAAACACACAAACTTTCTGAGGAAGCATTTGACTGGCTTCTCGGTGAGATAGAGACTAAGTTTGCTCAGTCCCAGGTAGCAGCTGGTGAGATGGTCGGCGCGCTAGCAGCGCAGAGCTTGGGAGAACCTGCCACTCAGATGACTCTGAATACTTTCCATTTTGCTGGAGTATCCTCTAAGAACGTAACCCTGGGAGTGCCCAGGTAGAATTAATTATCTTCGTTATTACAGAAACTATTTCACCTGTCCATTCTAGCTGGCTTGAAAATGCCAGTTTTATTTTCCATTTGACCTAAGTAGAGAATGTTTGTGTTTATTAATTGCCCAGACTGGTTTGTCAGGACTGACAAAACTGGATTGGCTCTTTGTTTTGTCCGGATTGGTTCGAGCTTGTGTGATCTGTTATGACCGGATTGTGTTGACCTTATTATATTGACCTAGTTTGACCTACTTTGTCTCAAGGTTATAATGCAAGGAAAGTTAATTGTAGTTGCGTATACTCTGCCTACATATCGAAACCAGTTCTCTAAGGGCGGAATTTGTAATTAAGAATAGATGCATCAGTGTTCGTTTGGTATCCGAGGAGGATTAAATTTTGATAATTTTGATAATTCGAATAATAGTTTCCTATGACCAGAATATTTCATTGATTTTTTATGTGAAAGATGGATCCCATGTCAGGCTTCGACATCCGTCTTGTGTTTACATTACCGCCGAGTGACAGTACACTGCAGTACAAAAGATGCGTATACCTCTGAAATTACTTTCCTTGCATTACAACCTTGCTTTGTCTGGCCGGATATCTAACTCAAAAGTTTCCCCCTTTAGCAATATATCCAAAACAGAAATCCAAGGTTTAGCCGGATATCTAAATTAAAAGTTGTCAGCTCAGGATGTTATGTTATTAATTTACATTATCCCAGGTTGAAGGAGATTATCAATATCTCTAAGAAGCCGAAGGCGCCCTCTCTAACTGTATTCCTGATCGGTAACGCAGCCAGGGACGCTGAGAAGGCTAAGAATGTTCTCTGCAGACTAGAACACACTACTCTTAGAAAGGTAAGCTGGAAACAATAATTAAAGTCAGTTTTCCTCTTTTTGTCTTCGATGTATGGAGTTACTTAATATAATGCTTTGGATCTGTATCCATTAGATCTGCAACAATTCAGCTCCCTAGATAAGGATTAAATGGTGATATATCAAGCAAAACCTCGCATAAAAACTAGTTCCTCGCAAAACATATATTTTAAGTGTACGTACATCGTACATGCATTAAGGAGGTATCATTTACAAATTATGGAACTTTTTTTTGGGGGGGAAGGAAACATTCATAGTCTGGATCCGGATACATTTTTATTGAACAGATTCAGGGCCCGGATCAGCATTAAAATGAAATGGCTTTCAAGCACTGGCTGACTTTTTTGTATATCTAGGTAACCGCAAACACTGCTATCTACTACGACCCTGATCCCCAGAACACTGTGATTGCCGAGGATCAGGAGTTTGTCAATGTGTACTACGAGATGCCTGACTTTGATCCAACCCGTATATCCCCCTGGTTGCTGAGGATAGAGCTGGACAGGAAGAGGATGACGGATAAGAAGCTCACTATGGAGCATATTTCAGAGAAGATTAATGCAGGTACTGTCCGGGATCCATATTTTCATTTTCTATTCGGCAAGTGAGAAAAACGATTGAATTTTAGTGAAAAATAAACGAAACTTTGAATGATATGTTTATAAAAATGGATAAAACTTGCTAGCTGATTTTAATTTTCCATTTGCTCCCATTCGGTGGATAATTATTTACGGGAGTCAGGGAGATAGTTTTATGTGCCTCAAAATTTGTTAAGTTTAAGATTTGTATTTTTTAATTTCCGAGTGAGGGAGCTTTTTAAAAATAGATCGATAATCTTGAGTAGCCAAAACCCGATATTGCTTGAAGAAATGTTATTAAATATTGGCTTTACCTCACTTCATTTGATTTATTTCTCTTTGAAAGCAATGAGCTTTTGATACAATTAAATATCTATTAAAATATTCGAATTGGTAAGATTTTTTTAAGGTTTCGGCGACGATTTGAACTGTATCTTCAACGACGATAACGCCGAAAAATTGGTTCTCCGGATCAGAATTATGAACAGTGAGGTCAGTCTCAAGAATAACCGTATCTAGTAATGATTAAACATTTTAAATTTAAAATTTTTTTTATTTTTTGAAATTCTTTTAAGTTTTCTAAATTTTTAAATCTTTTTAAAATTTTTTAATGATTCAACAAATTTCTAGGAGGGTAAGGAAGATGATGAAGATCAGGCGGATAAGATGGAAGACGACATGTTCCTCAGGTAAAAATTAACTTCAGAAATTTTGAAAATAATTTTTTTAATAATGTGAATTGTATATTTTGTTGAAAACCAATTCCCGAATTATCTTCATAGAACAATATTTAACCCTTTCGTTATTTTTAAAGGGTTTTCTATTTGAATTGTGGTAATTGAATATTTGAAAAGTTTTTAAAAAGAATTTATATTTTTACGCAGAATCTTCAAAATTCGTAAATTCGTATATTATCTACTTTAAAAACCTTAAATTATCCTTTGTGTTTTAAGCAAACTAAATTAAAAAACTCGTACTAGTCCTAAGGATAGTTACAAAAATTTAAATTTCATGTGATAGGTGTATTGAGGCGAATATGTTGAGTGACATGACCCTGCAGGGAATTGAAGCTGTAGCAAAGGTATTTTTAGCAGTAGCTACAGTAGGGTTTCTTTACAACATTTTCTAAAAAACTAAATTTTTACTTGGATTACCAAAAATAAACTCGACCTTTCATAAGTAAAGTTTGATTTGATAATATTTGAATCTGACCCTAATCACTAGGGGTGTATATTTTCTTTAAAAAACTGCCCCCGCCATTCTTTTGTTAATAAATTTCCACCCCAGCAGTTAGGTAAGTTTAGGGTTTCATTCGCTGAATTTAGGAAAATATATGAAGTTTAAAAGAAAATTGATTAATTTTTGAGTGAAAAGTAGGAAGAAGTAGTAATATCTTCAATTTTGGTGTCCTATTTTAAATTTGTTTTCCCCAATTCTTTAAAAATAACCCCCTCTCCCCTTTCTAGCAGGGGGGGGGGGAGTGAATATTAAAAATATACATCCCTGGACATCTGTCTGTTCAGGTTTACATGCATCTGCCCCAGACAGATGATAAGAAGAGGATCCTTATCACAGAGAATGGAGAGTTTAAAGCTATTGCTGAATGGTTGCTTGAGACTGATGGTACTGCACTAATGAAGGTATATTATTAAACATTATAAATCTGATTTAGACCTCGTGTAGATTACTTTAAAAGGGACTTCTAGTGACCCTCCATGCAAAGATGACGAGGCCCGACTTGCAACGGTACCCTTGAAACTTTAATCTGATAAAGAATTTGGAAGATACCTTTTCGTTTTCCGACTTGAAAAGTGATTAATCACAGATGTGAGAACCCCCAAATGAAAACCACAAAAGTGAGAAAACTTCAAATGAAAAATGAAAATAAACAGTTCAAAGAAACAAAAACATTTATATCTATTATCTAATTAATACTTTATCAGACAAAGCTTTCAAGGCTGTCGTTGAAAATCGGGCAATGCCATCTATGGATGGAGGGTAAGTTAACATTACGCTTGCTGCACTTTTAACAAGGAAAAACTTCATAAAATGGCATGATTTGATTTGATTTGGTATGATTTTATTGAAAGTTATATTTACATGCAGCTAAATTTATAATTTGTCAAACAATATTATTTTATTAGTTAGTTGACAAACATTATTATTTAAAAATGCAAATGCAAAATTCTTTTAAACTTTTCTGGAAACGTCTTCGGGCATGTCATTTTAAGAATTCAAGAAAGAATGAAAATTATACATCTTAAGATTAAGTTTTTTCATCCATTTTTATACTTTTTTCCTCAAGAACTTATTGACGACAAATATGTTATAATGTTATTTATAAAAACGTTGTGTACGAAATTGATCATCAGAGACATCTAGCGGCCAGAAATTTTCCTAAAATTTATTTTCCTCTTCCTTTTCTTTCTCTTTTCACAATTCAGTGGATAATCCCCTAACAAATGTTATTTTTATGAATTTAGGCGCAGACAGACCTAACATAAAGAAAATTAACACCCCCGATTAAATATGTTATCGATTATTGACTTATTTCCTGTTTTCTAGGTTCTAGCTGAGAGAGATGTAGACCCCGTGAGAACCTGTTCCAACGATATTTGCGAGATATTCGCTTGTCTCGGGATTGAAGCTGTCAGGAAGAGTGTAGAAAAGGAAATGGCGTTGGTTAGTATTAGTTTAATTTTGCGCCCATTGGAAATTTTTATACAAACATGAAACTAGTGCTTAGGATCCGGATCCATTGGATCCGCAACATTTTGGTTCCTGGATCCGGATCTGCAAAAATATGCGGATCAACCGATCTGGATCTAAGGGGCAAAATATCAATAAAAAATTGTGAAAAAGTATTAAAATGAGCGAAAAACAATAAGAAAATTAATGTGAAAATTTTTCTTTTCTTAATAAATCAGAAAATCTTAAAGAAATTTGCAAAACCTGGTTTCGGATCCATTTTTTTCAAAGTGGATTCAAGATCAAAATTAAATGGATCCAAAGTACTGCATGAATCATTACAACATATAATGTCTAGAACTGTAGATCTTAGGTGATATGATGTTGTAAATGGACCCATTTTACACTTACAGTGACGTATTAGGACTAATTTTATCAAACCAATAACAAATATTTTAGAAACCAACCCTACAATTTACCTAACATACACCTTAGTTGTACACACGTTGACTACCCTACAATTTACCTAACATACACCTTAGTTGTACACACGTTGACTACCCTACAATTTACCAAACATACAACTTAGTTGTACACACGTTGACTACCCTACAATTTACCAAACACACACCTTAGTTGTACACACGTTGACTACCCTACAATTTACCTAACATACACCTTAGTTGTACACACGTTAACTACCCTACAATTTACCTAACATACACCTTAGTTGTACACACGTTGACTACCCTACAATTTACCAAACACACACCTTAGTTGTACACACGTTGACTACCCTACAATTTACCAAACACACACCTTAGTTGTACACACGTTGACTACATTTATATTAATATATTTATATAATGTTGTCCTTTTTTATATAAAAAAATTGAGTCCTTTCCGCAAACTCAAATTTTCTAATCCCCATATCTATGCAACTTTAAGTTGGAAACCTTTGAGATGGGAAACTATTTAAGTTGGAAACCTTTGAGGTGGGAAACTATTTGATCTGACAGAATTCTTAGTTTGAAATATATTAAGTCTTAGACCTTGGATTGCAAAGATACAGGAATTGGTGAATCAGAATTTGTGGTAAAGACTCGATCCCTTTTGTAAAATTATAATTTAGAAATAATATATTGAACCTCCTCACCAACATTCATTTTGTGTTTTAGGTATTGAACTTCTACGGTCTATACGTGAACTACCGTCATCTCAGTTTACTATGTGATGTCATGACAGCTAAGGGTCATCTCATGGCAATCACTCGTCACGGAATCAATAGGTTAGAATGGGAGTAGACATTTTCGATGATGTCTACATTCTACATCCATGACTTTCTCACTGATGTCTACATTCTGCATCAGAGACGTTTTCACCGATGTCTACATTCAAATTGGAAAGAAAGAATTTGATTTAGTATACACTACATCGTATGTACGACAGATCTTGGTGGGGACTGTTTAGTATAGCCCCAGGACGATTTTTCAACACTCTTCCTTAAATTTTCTTTTTTTTTCATGTTAAATGTTGGGCAACTTTCATGATCTTTTTCTTATTTTATTAACTTTTTTCTTGCTTTATATTGATCTTTTTTATTTCTATATCAATCATCTGTTTTATCTAGGCAAGACACGGGTGCGTTGATGAGATGTTCCTTCGAGGAGACTGTTGACGTTCTTATGGAGGCCGCATCTCACGCTGAGGTCGATCCTATGCGTGGAGTATCGGAGAATATTATTATGGGTCAGCTTCCTAGGATGGGAACAGCATGCTTCGACCTTCTGCTAGACGCTGAGAAGTGTAAGATGGGAATAGAAATTCCCATGAACGTCGGCGGAGGAATGATGGGCGGAGGCATGTTCTTCGGTTCGGTCGCTTCACCAGGCGCCGCGATGACACCGGGAATGACGCCATGGGCGGAAGGAGCAACTCCAGCCTACGGAGGCAGCGTATGGAGTCCAGCGGGAATGGGAAGTGGTATGACACCTGGCGGACCTGGGTTTTCTCCGAGTGCCGCGAGCGATGCGAGTGGGATGTCTCCTGCAGGATTCTCCCCGGCTTGGTCTCCACAACCTGGTTCTCCTGGTAGTCCAGCAATGTCACCGTACATACCCTCACCAGCTCATGGTGACGCATCTCCTGGTTATTCTCCTAGCTCTCCAACCTATGCTCCGATATCCCCTAGTATGCCATCCCCCAGTTCTCCGAGCTATTCACCAACAAGTCCTTCATATGGGCATTCACCCACCTCACCCCAGTATTCACCAACCAGCCCGAGCTATTCACCAACCAGTCCCAGCTACTCACCGACCTCACCATCCTATTCTCCCACCAGTCCTTCCTACTCTCCAACCTCCCCGAGCTATTCACCAACCAGCCCTTCCTATTCACCGACAAGCCCTAGCTATTCACCAACATCTCCCAGTTACTCACCAACATCACCAAGCTACTCCCCAACCTCTCCCAGCTATTCACCTACGTCTCCAAGCTATTCTCCAACAAGTCCTAGCTATTCACCAACCAGTCCCAGCTATTCTCCGACATCTCCTTCCTACTCCCCTACCTCTCCTTCCTACTCCCCCACTAGCCCATCCTATTCTCCTACTTCTCCTTCCTACTCCCCATCCTCTCCTCAGTACTCCCCGGCCTCTCCGAAATATTCGCCCTCCTCTCCAAAATACTCCTCTACATCTCCCAACTACTCCCCGACCTCCCCTGCCTACTCTGCCACTTCTCCCAACTATTCCCCAACCTCACCTTCCTACTCCCCATCCTCTCCTCAATACTCCCCTTCTTCTCCCAAATATTCTCCCACATCTCCCAACTACTCCCCAACCAGCCCATCCTACTCCCCTACATCCCCTTCATACTCCCCAACCTCTCCCAACTATTCTCCTAGCAGTCCTAAGTACTCCCCAAGCTCACCCAAGTACTCCCCCAGCTCTCCTCAATACTCCCCAACCTCTCCACAGTACTCCCCCACATCTCCACAGTACTCCCCAACCTCTCCTCAATACTCCCCGACCTCCCCCTCCTACTCCCCAACCTCTCCATCCTATTCCCCAGCTTCCCCCTCCTACTCCCCCGCCTCTCCCTCCTACTCTCCTGCCTCCCCCTCCTATGATTCTGATGATGAGAAGAAAAACGTCAAGAAGTCTAAGAAGAAATAAATGTTAAGTGTGTACTCCTGTATATCCTGGATACTCGGATCCAATGTATTTAATCACTGTGCATTGTGCAATGTACCACAGTACACTTCGCTTATATACGAAACTGTATTTTCAAGAGTTTTTTTTAATGAACACTTTGATCCAAGCACATAGATAATCTTGGCATTTTAGAATATATGAATAACAAATATGTGCTGTCAGGTTAAACGTCAAACCTTTTTACAGTGACCACACAAACATATTATATAATATTTGGTGCATTTTGTTTAAACCACAAGATTTTGAGTAGGTCTCAGTTTCTGTATTTAATGCACACATTTCTAGACGTTAAGAGATCATTTTTTAAATACATGGATTTCATTGTATTTTATGATTTAACTATTTTTTTACCAAGAAAAATGTGAAACTCGAAAAAAAATACTGTAATACTGTTTACTAAGTTAATACGTACAATTATATTCCTTTTTAAACTGTAAATATTTCATTAAAATAAAATTCGTTAAAATGTTTTTTGTTTTTCGAAAAACTAAGTTACATGTTTACTTAGGCTCAGGTGTCAGGTCATTCAAGGATGTTGCTTAGGCTTGTTGAATTAGTTGAACTGAAGTTCCTTCTTCACCCACCTCGGAAAAATTGTAAATTTAAAAACTATCAAAAATTTGAAAAAGCACTGGCCATTAAACATTTCATTTTTATTGATAATTTATTTATGTTTTATTTATGTTTAGTAATATTTTCAGAAAATTTATTCCAAATGAAGTACGAGACACTCTAACCTAGTATGACCATTTTAGGAAAGTACAAGAAAGCGTCTCTATAGAAATAACAAGTTAAGATGATTCTTATATTGGATTTTTGATGAGCCATAATTACTGGTAGATCGGGATGTATTATGTATTGTTTGAAGCTCGAGAAACTCTTAAGTTTCAGTGACGGTCTTAAATTAATTTTCTCAATATGAAAAACCTAAAATGTAATCCCTGCAATCATTTAATCTCGACAAACCGATGGAAACACATGAAGTCCAGAATTTTTTACCCGACAACTTCGCCATCGGCACATAAAGTTGGTAAACATGTTTCCTGGGTTAACAATCTCAAAAACTTTTTTTACTCTTTCGCGGATTTTCTAAAATTAAAATTGAAATATAATGGCTATGAATGCCAATAATTTCTTCATTATTACAACGCCTTGTAAAGTATGATCTGAGGCCGTTCCTTCCATAAACTTCATTGGTTGACAACTTGACGTCTCCTATATTTGTCGTCAAGTGTTCAGAGAAATTATCTCTATTATCATATAAGAATTCAGCATGAGACATCTAGCAGCCAAAATATCGCCCCACAAAGTACGTGAACTACATGACTACTATAAGAGAGAACGGGCTCTGACAAGGAGAAAAGAAATAAAAATTCCATCAAATAATACAATGTTTCCATGCTTAATGGGGCACCTTTTACAAAAGTCGTCGTAGTATAATTGATTTATCATTTCTAGGCGCTGTGTCTGTGCGCTCAGTGTCTATCTTTTATTTCAACATTTAATAGTTGCTCAATCTTTCAGAATTTTCCATTCGATAAACCAAAAATGAAAATGTTGCGGATTTACAATTTTTTTGTGGATTTTAAGAATTTTACGAAAACAAATTTTTGTATTTCTGAACATATATGAAATTTCCCTGAGGTCATGTAAGGTACCACACAAAATTTGGACCAGATCGGTTTAACCGTTTTGACGTTTATTGGATACAAACAAACAAGCAAAGGATATGTATAGATGGTTTTAGGGCGATTTTCATAATTTAATGAAGATCGAATTTTGTTGGAGGCTAATTTTTAAAATTTGGGCCCGATCGGTTCCGTCGTTTTGGATACAAACAAACAGACACCCAAGCAAAGTATTCATATAGACTAAAGACGATTTCAATTTGACATTGTAAATCAATGGGGGGGGGGGGAGTGACACAAATCTCGCACTGTGTGTGCACATTTTCTGTTTTTGTAATTAACTTTTGGCTTTATATACATTGTAAAATTGTCATAATTTAGAAATGTCAAAGTTTGTTTCAAACACTCGCACATTTTGATCAAAACTTTGCCCAAGACTAAAATAATTAAATTTGAACAACCTTATTTCCCATTTTTTTGTTGACACCCTGTCAATATCTGGTAAACTTGACTCAATTATGTGAGCAGTAGTAGAGCAGAATAGGACATGATTGGGGTTTCCGGTCTCAGATATATTCTTCTAACAATATTTACAATAAATCAGGTTTTTTTCTTTTATAGCAAAAAATAATCGACTTTCGAGTGTGCAAATTCAAAAATAACTGCTAAAAGAAATAATCACGATTGGACAATGCAAATTAACGTGGACGCAACGCTCGGCCCTTCAGCTTGCCATAGCCGCAGTGCTTGGTTGTTCACTTTTGTCTGTTTTAGTAATGCATGTAAAAAGGGACAGATACTCCCTGATTTGAACTGTGACCATGATTAGAAAATAAATTTGTTTCTAATGTGTCGCTGAATAATAAAACAGTTGTATTCAGAATTGTTTTGTTTACGGAGGATGCCCCTTTCAAAATCCATTCTGGTTTTTAGACAGGTATCTAGTGTTTTATTTAGAAATGGAATTTAGAGACATTAGATTATTTAACTATTTTTAATGGGTCATATATTCGAAAAACTAATTTTTTTTCAGACGCTTAAAGTTTTTAATTTAATTAAGACACTAAACGTTTTTAAAAAGACATTCAGACACTAAAAGTTCTTAGTGACACTAAGACCCTAAACGTTTTTAAAATGGATATTTAAACACTAAAAGTGCTTAAACTTTTTAAATAAATTAAGACACTAAACGTTCTTAAAAAGATATTCGGACACTAAACGCTCTTAAAGTGATACTTAGATACTAAACGTTATTAAAATTGATATATAAACACTAAAAGCGTTTAAAGTGATATTCAGACATTGAGGCACTTAAAGTTTTTAGATTGATATTAAGACACTAAAAATTCTTAAATTGATATTCAGACAATAAAAGTTTTTAAATTGATATTCAAACACTAAAATTTTTTTATTTAATATTCAGACATTAAAAAAGTTTTTAAATTGATATTCAGACACTGAAAGTTTTTAGATTGATATTCAGACATTAAAAGTTTTTAAAATGATATTCAGACACTAAAAGTTATTAAATTAATATTCAGACACTAAAAGTTTTTAAATTAATATTCAGACATTAAAAAGTTTTTAAATTGATATTCAGACTTTAAAAGTTTTTAAATTGATATTCAGACAATAAAAGTTTTTAAATTTATATTCAGACATTAAAAGTTTTTAAATTGATATTCAAACACTAAAATTTCCTAAATTGATATTCAGACACTGAAAGTTTTTAAATTGATATTCAGACACTGAAAGTTGACAGAAAGTTTCATTAAATCCGTTTCTCTGTGGTTGTTCTCTGTCCGTTTCTGTACTCAATTTTACAGTCATAACCAGCTGAAAGACGAATAAAAGTCGTCTTTATTAAATAATAATTATAATGTGGATTTTTTAATTATAAACAAGATAGACGAAACTATCTCTGCAAATATGGACATCAATGGTTGATACCGAGATTCATAACAACAAAAGTTCTGACCTTCGATGTCCTATAAATTCTGCTAGATCAAAAAATAAAATATTAAAGGTCCATACTGTTGAAAAGATATAAGAACGAAAAAAGTGTTCAGTTTCTATTCAGTATAGCAATTGATCGCTTTATTTACAACACTAATGTTCTGGGCACATTGTCAAGGTTACAATTACCAAATATTTAGATTTATTTTACATTTTGGACTTTAATCCTTTTTTTCCTAGTTTTGACATTAAGAAGACTTTATCTCTTTCTAGACCAAATGTAGTGACTGTATCAGATGCTGAGGGGAATCTTGTACCAGACAGGTAAACTGGTAATCTTGTACCAGACAGGTAAACTGTTAATCTTGTACCAGACAGGTAAACTGTTAATATTGTACCAGACAGGTAAACTATTAATCTTGTACCAGACAGGTAAACTGGTAATCTTGTACCAGACAGGTAAACTGTTAATATTGTACCAGACAGGTAAACTATTAATCTTGTACCAGAATGGTAAACTAATAATCTTGTACCAGACAGGTAAACTATTAATCTTAAACCAGACAGGTAAACTATTAATCTTGTACCAGACAGGTAAATCTTGTACCAGACAGGTAAATCTTGTACCAGACAGGAAAACTATTAATCTTGGATGAGAAATAAATCAATTGCCAGGGCGTTATGACACCTTAAAGTCGTCCCAGGTCTTGAAAAGAAATGCAACTTTTACTTTTTATCTATATGTGCACTGTGAATAAATCAAAAATACAAAATTATCAAATTATCAAATTATCAAATTATCAAATNAATAATAATAATAATAATAATAATAATAATAATAATAATAATAATAATAATAATAATAATAATAATAATAATAATAATAATAATAATAATAATAATAATAATAATAATAATAATAATAATAATAATAATAATAATAATAATAATAATAATAATAATAATAATAATAATAATAATAATAATAATAATAATAATAATAATAATAATAATAATAATAATAATAATAATAATAATAATAATAATAATAATAATAATAATAATAATAATAATAATAATAATAATAATAATAATAATAATAATAATAATAATAATAATAATAATAATAATAATAATAATAATAATAATAATAATAATAATAATAATAATAATAATAATAATAATAATAATAATAATAATAATAATAATAATAATAATAATAATAATAATAATAATAATAATAATAATAATAATAATAATAATAATAATAATAATAATAATAATAATAATAATAATAATAATAATAATAATAATAATAATAATAATAATAATAATAATAATAATAATAATAATAATAATAATAATAATAATAATAATAATAATAATAATAATAATAATAATAATAATAATAATAATAATAATAATAATAATAATAATAATAATAATAATAATAATAATAATAATAATAATAATAATAATAATAATAATAATAATAATAATAATAATAATAATAATAATAATAATAATAATAATAATAATAATAATAATAATAATAATAATAATAATAATAATAATAATAATAATAATAATAATAATAATAATAATAATAATAATAATAATAATAATAATAATAATAATAATAATAATAATAATAATAATAATAATAATAATAATAATAATAATAATAATAATAATAATAATAATAATAATAATAATAATAATAATAATAATAATAATAATAATAATAATAATAATAATAATAATAATAATAATAATAATAATAATAATAATAATAATAATAATAATAATAATAATAATAATAATAATAATAATAATAATAATAATGATAATAATAATAATAATAATAATAATAATAATAATAATAATAATAATAATAATATATTTGGTTAGGTTACGGGAAAAATATCACGACATCGACAAAGTCAGGATATTGAAATTCTTCCTTGTACCGAGTACATGTTTAAGGTATGTACCGAGTACATGTTTAAGCTATACACTGAGCTAAGTACATATTTATTGTAAATAGATACCGAATATGCATTTTTTTATTTATTTACTGATTTTAGACTTTTTACTACAATTTTAACGGTTTCTTCTGTCAAATTATTAACTTTAGATTAAAAAAATATTCAATAAATATTGATATCTAATATGTATGTAGTAAATGCCCTATACTCTATGAGGGATCCTTACCCATATCTATCTAGTCAGGTATCGATGTCAACACGGACACTAGCTTGTAAACTATCAATGCCAAACCAATGGGCATGATCTCGTCAACTATCAATGTCAACACTGACACTAGCTAGTAATGGGTCAATGCCAAGCCAATGGTCACAATCTCATGAGCTAACGATGTCAACCGGACACTAGCTCGTAAACTATCTTGATGCCAAACCAATGGGCACGATATCATAAGCTATCGATGTCAACACAGACATTAGCTTGTAAACTATCAATGCCAAACCAATGGGCATGATCTCGTCAACTATCAATGTCAACACTGACACTAGCTAGTAATCTGTCAATGCCAAGCCAATGGGAACAATCTCATGAACTAACGATGCCAACCGGACACTAGCTCGTAAACTATCTTGATGCCAAACCAATGGGCACGATCTCATAAGCTATCGATGTCAACTGAACATTAGCTTGTAAACTATCAATGCCAAACCAATGGGCACGATCTCAGCTCGTATGTTTCAATGAGGGCCAAATTACTCTCTCGCAGTGATCAAAGTGGAGTCTCTATATCAACTAATTTGTGTTTAGGTTTCGATGTTATAAGTTAACGTTAATCGACGTAATTACAAGTATTTCGTAATTTACTGCCTAATTTAGCTTAAATGTACGTATTTACAGGATTAGTGTAGATACATATAAGCGAAGTTAAGCTAATCACAATACAGATTTACAGACGTTATAGGTTAATCATGTTACATAGATATTTACAGCAGAGCTGATTAATTATGCTCAACATAGTTCAGGTTTGCAGATATTGTGTTACACGATATTTATTACATGCATTGCAAAATGCTTTTGGTTTAAAACTTACTATCTATAATCTGTAGAGAGACTTTACTTTGTAGTCGTGTGAGGTTAGAATTTCGCGACGCAATAATTGTGAAAATTTAGTTAATTTACCTAAATGCAGGTGATAGCCTCTGAGGACTGGAAGGGGATGAGAGAGGATTTCAGAATGGCCTCCGATATGATTTCGTTCAAGGGATATCATCTAGAAATAAATCATATTTATAGTTTAAATAACAAGTTTATTTGTGACAAGAAGAATTACAAAGAAAATACCCAAAACCCAAACTACTAAAATTTCTAAAAAAAACGCTTCTTATTTTTGGTGCATTTTAGCATTTTGGAAGGGGTGTCCCCTATCTCCTGCCCTCTAGAAATAAAAAGACATTTTCAAGTCAAAAACAGTGGCAAAAAGTGAAAACTACACAATTTTGTCCAAGAAGAATCAGAATTATCGCACACGGCGCGCCTCATTATCTGCCACAAAAAAATCCCCCCATCCTCCTTCCCCATATGAAAACATCCCGGTTGCGCCCTGTGGCCTGTTTCTAGATGAGAGCCTGTATGCTACCAGGTTGATTATACACCCAAGTTTATTCGACCTCCAGTAGTTAAAGAGAGAAGGCTGAGGCAACCTCGTCCTAGTAGAGGAGGCCAGGTTAGTTAAATTTGTCTACACCAAGGGTGTAAAATGATATACAAATTAGGTCTTTACTAATATCTAGACAGATACAGAGTGTCCCAAATCTTATCGGATCGTTATTTGCTCTAAATTACGATTTTAGCGACTTATCGAAAGTCAAGGAAAATGAATGATTTAAAAAAATTGTATAAGGCCATTGCAGAAAATACTTGGTTTATCAAGTATTATGTTCGTATTTTTGGCTCTAAAGCCTGGAGATAATCCTATATGATATGGGACGCTCTGTATAATATAAAAGTTAGTCATCAAAGTTTTAGATAGCCTCGATCGACTTCAACGCCTATTGGCTTTACCTCACCAAGTCATTTATACTATTTTGTTTTCCTAGTCATATAGATTCTTAAACTGAAACACGCTTTATTTTAGCTGAAGTTTAAAAGAAGTAATTGGCAATAATCTATTGCTAGATTTTTTGTGTGAGATCGACATCTTGGTTTGGAGTGTCTAACCTCTAGCTGTAAATCGATAAAATTGTTATGACTTTGTTATTTATGAAATGTCCCACAGGGACACCCTGTATATATAAAATGTCATGCATCTTTGAAATGTCCTATCTAAGAAATGTCTTATCAATAAATTTTCTAACTATGAAATGTCAACCATCTATGAAATGTCCTATCAATAAATTTTCTATCTATGAAATGTCCTTTCTAAGAACTGTCCTATCCATGAACTGCCCTATCTATGAACTGTCGTATCTGTAAACTGCTCTGAACTGTCCTATCTGTAAATTGTTCTATCTATGAGGTGTTCTATCTTTGAAATCTCCTATCTAAGAACTGCCCTATTTATTAAACTCTATCTAGTTATTACCAGTTTAAGCTGAATCAAATTATGAAAGTCGTCGTTTGTCAAGCCTTTAATTAAAACTAAAGAAAACCTTTTCTCTTTTTCACCAAATAAGCTGACATTCAGGCGACTGGTGAAACATCAAATTTATTTAAGATTGATTAAATGTCGACTGTCTATTTTCAGAGTTTTATGAGTCCCCCTGTTTTTTCAGAGTTCTGCTGCATATCAGGGACGAGATCGACGAGCTCCATTGTTTGAGGAGGTTGGACAAATACCTACTCCTCCACCTGAACCAGAACCACTAGTACCATACAACGTCTGGTAAACTAACAAACAAACAAACAAACAAACTAACAAGCAAACTATAAGTAACAAACAAATAACATAATAAATTTGCTTTGAATTAACTATGGCCTCAATGATAAAACACATATAGTTTTGACCCGCCATAAATTTGTCAACGATGAAAATTGAAGATAATTGAAAAAATTCATAATTTGAAGCTTAATAAATTAAAGTTTTTTATAAAATCTACTTAAAGGATACAAGGTGTGATAAAACTGTGAAATAAGAAGACGACGGGTGGAAAATTTATGAATTTAAAAAGTCCAATAAAATGTACACACAGGCTGACACAGCAATTGTATAAACTATTTGATTTAAAACATCATTGCACATAAGATCCATATATTAGATTCAATTTGATTTCTTATCTAGGGTTCAATGGAAGATATCAGATATAGATTTCCCTGCTTGTCTTTCTCACTTTGAATTTGATTACTATGATGTGGTGTATAATGAATCTATTTTCAAAAAGGTATAAAACATTTATTTTTGCAATGTTTATCTATTTATTTTCTTGGTTAAACCCAACGTTTATTATTTGATTGTGTATTTGTAAAAAAGAAACTTTTATTGATAATGGTTTTCTATTTTTGAATAACCTTCAAATGATTAGAATTAGATATAAATCTAAGTAACTATTTAATTTTTCATTAGAACTAACATACTTTTCTAATACAATCTTTTTAATGTTTAAAAATACAGAACAAAATGGCTGCCACTTTTCAATAATAGTTTTTAAAATCCTTGACCATTAAAAAATCTGAACTTTTAGGAAGACGACATTTGATTTTGTTATTTGCTTACAGACTGTTAGTAAACCATTCGAAGAAAAGATGGAGTTTGAACTCTTGAACGATAAAGTTCCCTGTAACGACGAGTTTGCCTTCATCGCTAGGGTATGCAATTTTATTTTTAAGAACACAATATTTTGGTTTTAGATTTTTTTTTAAAAAGTTAACTAAGTTACAATTATCAAAAAGTAAATAGTTACAGGGTTACCAACTTAGGATAAGACTTCAGACTCAGAGACAACTTTACGAAATGTATTTAATCTTTTTACTTGCTTAAATTGTTTCATGCTTTTGTTAATTAGTTTCAAATCATTAGGTTAAAAAATAATATATATATAATATATAATAAACTTCTGGTCGTCTTTACAGTTTTATCCTTTATGGGTAAAAGAAAAAATGAAAAGAGAAATGTGTGTTGGTATAAGTCATCATATACTTTTAAACAATAAATACCGCAAAGAATCTTTACTTTTTCAGTTTTAAAGTACCAACTTCTTATCGCGGCCAATTATAATAAAAGAAAAACACAAAGTTTCTCAAAATATAATATTGTTAAAAAAATTATAAATAATACGTTTTTATTCAAGGTAATTGGATTAACAGGAGAAGAAAGTTCTGATTTCTGGACACCTCCGTCTTGTGTTGTTCTAACAACTGAACCTCCAACAACATCTACTACAGAGGCAACGACACTCTCAGAGTAAGTACTTGACAAAATGTCGTCTTCTATATTTATATTATAATTTGCTTGTTTGTATCCAACAAATTTCAAAAGGGCTAAACCGATCGGGCCCAAATTTTGTGTGGGACTTTACATGTCCCTAGGGAAGGGTTGTTGATAATCAAAATTGTAAAAGTTTGCCTCCAACGAAATTCGATTTTCATTAATTGTTGAAAATCCATAAAACATTTTTATAAATTTTAAAATTCAGTGATGGTGATGGACCAAACCTCTGTAGAGTAAAAAAGTAGATGTTAGTTCCACATTTATTGAAAATATATTTCGGTCTGGGTTGACCCTCGTCAGTTCTTGAGATTGTTTCTTCACAAAGATTATAAAATCCGCAACTTTTCTTTGTTTTTGGTTTACAGTGTATACAAAGATAAAAATGTTCATATTGAAATATAAAATGGGCGCGAAGCACCCTAATTAAGCCTAGTTTTCAAAATGTGTATTGTTCAATATGGATATACAGGTTTACTCACAAAGCATGAGACTTCAGAGACGACTGATATCAGTCTTTTTTCTTACTTTTCTAATTCCCTGCAAATATAAACTTTATTTTTCTATTTTAAACCTTTTAAATATCATTTAATTCGACTGCATTAGGGCAAAACTCCAAAATAAACCTTGAATTGTTGTGTTTAAATATCATAGGGTGGTCAATAAAGTCTTACAGCTTTGTGGGTAACCCTGTATATGAGATATACATAACTCACACAACCCTGTATATGAGATATACACAACTCACACAACCCTGTATATGAGATATACACAACTCACACAACCCTGTATATGAGATATACACAACTCACACAACCCTGTATATGAGATACACACAACTCACACAACGGCGGCATGACAATTAAAGGCAATCTAAAATGCAAAAGCAGGGGGCGGAAACGTCATGTTTGTGTGTCGAGTGTGTCTGTACCAAAGTGTGTGTGTAAGTAATACCGAACCGAAGGCGTGTACTATGAGTATTAAGTACTGGTATATACAGTACATAAGAATCTCGGTATTTGTACAGTCTAGGAGAGTACATTTGTTTATTGCTATTTATTTACTTAAAAATAAGTTTAATATACATGCAATATATTATTTAAATATTTTAGTCAACATTGTAAGCCAAATCTTAATGCAAAGAATATACTTTGATTGAAGCTTACCATAAACTACTCGTTATTCAAGTTTAATTATAACTGACGACATTGTTCTGCAATTTCCTTGACTGTAATCATGTTGTGTGTCAGAACCAAAAGAGTGTGCGTGTGTAATCACAAACTCGTCTGCTAAGCAGTGCGACTGGTTTCTTACGCCAGTTAAGATTTTATTATACTGGAAATTTAGACACTAAGATATTTCTAAACTTTCAGATTTTTCAGAAAGAGATATATTCTATACTAGTGATTTTGTGTTGAGGGAGCCATGGAAGCTGCCCTCCTCCCCCCCTCCCGCAGTAAAAAATTGTTATATTCTAAACTAGTGTTGAGGGAGCTATGGAAGCAGCTCGTGAAGAAAATGAAGCTCTGAAGGAGAAAATTAATGGTTTAAAGCAGCAGTATGGTCCTATTGGGAAACAGGTACAGGGTGTTCCACAAAACATGACAGTTGGGGAATAGGTCTTCTTCCATAATTTGTCAAGTTGTTTGATAAAGAGAATAATCTAACATATTGTATGGTAGTCCTTTTACAATAAAATTGATTTCAAAGTAAAATATATTTGAGTAAAAGATTTTTTAACGAAATACACTGCAAAAAGTTTTCAACAACTAAAACATTATATGGAAGAAAACATTCAAAACTTTTCACCAACTGTCATGTTTCGTGGGACACTCTGTATATTAGCACTAAATGCTAAATCAGACTGAGCACATTTAAGCCCTAGAAGATGAAATAAGAAGAATCTGTTTTAATTATATTTTAAAAACTTGGTTTTATCATTGGAAATCAAGTTTTATTAGTAAAGAGACTAATAACAGCGTGGGTGTAGTTTCAAATGAGCCTTCAGTCCATACAATTAATGCAATGCTCGATTTCCAACCATTAAACTTTTATCTGATCAAAAATGTGGAAGATATTGTTGTTTTTCTAGGCTTAAACGTTATTAATTCTTACAATTTCATATGTTTCCTAAAGAAGAAATGCGCAAATGACTTTCGTAGAAAAACCTCAACTGAAAATAAGAAGTTTTAAAATTATAAACATTGATATTTAATTCGTACTTATTCATAAAGGGTACTGTTGTGAATCGGGCATTCTTTTCACGCAAAATACGAACAAAACAGAAAGAAAGATAATTGTATAAAAGCAATACTTTGTTTGGTTTTCCGTGTAAGACTTATTTTAAAATTAAAGTTTCAATATATTTTTTGTGATTTGTGATTCTAATTTTTGAATGTGTCAGAACATTAAAACCTGTGTTATCTTCATATTTGCATATTTAACATATTTAATCTTTAGAACTGATTTGAACACCCACATCCTTGGTATTTTTATCAACAATTTCAAATGTTTAGGTGTATACTGCCTTAAAGGAAAATATTTACCTGGGACTAGAAGGATTCCTGGCAAGAAAAAAGGTAAAATTAAAAAACGTTTTTTTTAATATGTTAATAATGTTTTTTCTAATATATGGGGGTAGAAAAGTTTCTTTGAAATTAAATTAATTTGGAGGGAAAATATTTAGTTTTTGCTAGATGTTTCATTTTTAATATAAAAAACAAATCAAATTAAAGATAAATTTTAGAAATTTTATTTCTGATTTTTTCAGATTATCGAAGGAGGAGATATTAGTCAGCTCGAAAAACTGGATCCAAATGCTCCATTTTAGATGGAGAAACTGGATTTAATTGCTCCAGTTTAAATTTTAATCCTATTGCTCCATTTTAGATGGAGAAACAGGATCCTAGCTCTATTTTAGGTGGAGAAACAGGATCCTAGCTCTATTTTAGGTGGAGAAACAGGATCCTATTGCTTCATTTTTTATGGGGAAAGAGGATCCTAGCTCCATTTTAGTTGGAAAAACAGGATCCTATTGCTTCATTTTAGATAGAGAAACTTGACCCTGTTGCTCCATTTTAAATGGAGAAACCAGGATCCTAATGTTCCATTTTAGTTGGAGAAACAGGATCTCAAAACTCTATTAAAAATAGAAAACAAAGATAAGGATTATTTAAGATGCTTCATTTTTGTTTAAAACTGTTTTTATCGATTCTTTATATGTTGGTATCCCTCTAAAAACTGTTTTAACACATTTAAAGGGACTGTACGAGTAATTTCAAGTGACCCTTCATAAAAAGATTGTAATGTCCGATTCAAAACGAAACCCTTGCAACCTTTATCTGATCAATAAAGTGGAAGATATTGTTGTTTTTCTAGGATTGAAATGTTAAGTTTTGATAAGTCCTATACGTTTTCTTAAAGTATGCAAGTCATTTTTGAAGAGAAACCAAAATTGAAAATAATCAGTTTTAAAAATCATAAATATTGATGTCTAATTCACACTTCATCACATAAAGCCTTAAAGGGACAGACCGGCTATGTAAGGTAGATAAAATGAGTATTCAGTGTTGTGGACAAATTCTTTAGGATTCATTTGAGACATATAAAACGTTTCCACGATGTATAATTACTGAGTTGAGTGCATAGTCGACGTTCAAAATCATATATTTGGGTGGGTACGTTTTTAGAATCGGTTTTTAAAATTATTAAATAGCGACGACGAAAAATAAAGTAAAAATTATACAGTAAACTAATTAGATGGTTAGGAACATATTTCTCAAAAGCAACTTGTCAATAAATCAATGCTAGAATCAATTATTTCGTTTTCATCATTATATTGAATTTCTTATTTTCTATGAATTTATTAACAGATTTCTACAAATTCTTCAAATGTCGTCGTTTTAGTAAAAATTTGTAGAAAATCTGCAGTAAATCTTTATGAACAATGAGAGATTATAGAAACTAATAATTGAATAAGATTACTTATTTTTGATGATAAGATTAATTTTTATTTTCTCAACCTTTTCATAAAGAACTATTTAGTTTACTGTAGAATTTTGTCTACATTTTTGTCGTCGTTATTTAATAATCTAGAATAAAAAAAATTCTTGAAACGTATCCACCCTAAAGTATGATTTTGAACGTTGCGCTCAAACTCAGGATTTACAGATCTTTAAAAAGTTTTATATGTCTTAAATGAATCCTAAAGAATTTTTCCACAATAATGCATACTCAGTTTAACTACCTTACATAGCCGGTCTGTCCCTTTAAAGGTTACCGCTATAAATCGGGCATTGCCATCTTAGCATCGATATTATGCTTCCAGTCTCTTTAACGCTTCAACCAAACGTTGTCATCTCCCCTTTCCCGTCACCCTTCCGGCCCTGCACCCTTTTCCTGTCACCAGTCTGGCCCTGNGTTACCAGTCCAGCCCTACACCCTTTCCCGTCACCAGTCTAGCCCTGCACCATTTTCAGTCAGAAGTCCGGCCCTGCACCCTTTCCCGTCACCAGTCCTGCCCTGCACCCTTTCCCGTCACCAGTCCAGCCTTACACCCTTTCCCGTCACCAGTCCAGCCCTGCACCATTTCCAGTCAGAAGTCCGGCCCTGCACCCTCTCCCTTCACCAGTCCAACCCTGCACCCTCTCCCGTCACCCGTCCAGCCCTGCGCACAGAAATCTTTTAGTGTATATTTATAATTTTCTCTAAATAAAAACATTTTAATTAACAGATCACTGTATGATAAGTTAAGCTAGGGATTCCTAAAATAAAAAAATAAACAAATTTTAGAATTTACAATGCTCCCTCTGTAGATCCGTCTCCTCTGCGGGCGATTTGGCCAAGAATTTGTACTGCCCGCTCTGTAAATATCTCTCCTCTGTGGTTGGTTCGAACAAAAGTTAACAATGCTTGCTCTGTAAATATCTATCCTCTGTGGGCAGTTTGATAGAGAATTTACAATGCTTGCTCTGTAAATATCTATCATCTGTGGGCAGTTTGACCAAGAATTTAATATATTCGCTTTGTAGATATCTATCCTCCATGGTTTGACCATAAATTAACAATACTCTCTCTGTAAATATCTATCCTCTGTGATTGGTATTGAACCAAAAATTTGCAAAGAACGCTCTGTAAATCTTTCTCCTCTGTAGGTGGTTCGACATTGAATTTACAATGCCCGTTTAAGGGTAACTAATTAGACTCACAGTAGAGCTCATATCAGAACAAATAGGTATTAATAATACACATTTCCTACACCCACACAAACTAGAGACCGAATTTAATGAATTTGAGCCGCGTCGCTGAAATACCGATTTAAAGTTAAATAACCAGGAAGAATTTGAATCGGTGATTCAAATGTGAGCCGGCGATAGTCAGTTCAAATTCATTAAGTTGTGTACCAGGAGAGGACTATCCAAAGATTTAACATATGATAACGATATGATTTAATGCTTGTAAACTTGTTAAATAATTAGTACTTATATTGAACTTTTGTTAAGACAAATCTTTATAATATGAAAATCTTTGATCATCAAAGTTTTCTTTAAAAATCATTGATTATAAACAATAACACCAACAGAACAGGTACTTTTTTGTTCTAGCAAATTTCCATGAACATGGTCCATTTTGATTTCTACCTACAAGTTATATATGTTTGGGTACATGCCGGTTTGTATTGCTTTCTGGCATAAAAGAATTCTATCGCTATGACAACTTTTTATGGACAAAAATACAGGGCGTAAAGTACAGGGTGTCCCACGAAACATGACAGTTGATAAATAGTATTTAATGTCGTCATACATATACTGTATTATGATAATAAAGTTTTTTTTGCAGTTTATTTTGTTAAAAAAATCTTTTGCTCAAATATATTTTACTTTGAAATCAAGTTTACTACAGTATAACTCCCATAATATTTTTATTATTGTCAATCAACTTAACAAATTATGGAAGAAGATATTCTCAACTATTCACCAACTGTCATGTTTCGTGGGACACCCTGTAACTCCAAGCCTAAAAGTCATGACATGTGTTCAGAAAGTCCAAGATAATTTTACAAGCCCGCATTATAAAAACCTTGCATTATTAAAGTGTGCTAAGTTGGAATCATTTTAAACTAAAGGAGGCGACCAAAAGACAATTTTAAAAGACGACTATTCGGAATGAATACTGTCCGTTTCCTAATCTTTCTATGCAACTGTAAACTACAGTTTCTTTATTTGCCAAATTATTAAATAACAATATGAAAGGCAGAAGTCATATTCTAACCTTAAAAATTAACAGAGTTTTGGGTCGTCTTCACACTACAGTCTCATCCTTTGTAGGTTAATCCTGTATAATTGATAACTAACTGAAGGAAACAAATCATAAATCGTTTCTTTGCCTATTTATCTGAAAAGTGCTTACTACTGTACGGACTACAGAGGGTTACCCCAAAAAGGATGACATTTTAATGACGACCTATAAGTTTAAAGATCTGCAGATTGAACGTGGTCTTCTGTCTTAAAAACTAAATATTTATATTTTCCGTTTCTTGTTACATGTTTACAATTGTGTTACATAATTGATATTTCATATATAACATTGGATGAGTTACGGAAATAGGTTTTAAATATTTTTACAACGGATTTATTATTGTTAAATTAAGGTAATCGAGACATCACGGAATATCATGTTACAGTTGTATAAGGGTGATATGAATCGAAATTGCTTATAAAAAAACACTCCGAAAATTCTATAAAGTATATTTAGGACGACATTTTTGAAGGATACTAAGAAAATATCGTTTATAAAATATCGAAATTATTTATAAAAAATCGAAATTGTTTATAAATATCGAAATTGTGTATACAAATAAAATTAAATGGTATTACATATGATTTAGCATAGAAAGCAACAAGATTTTAGCCTAGACTAGAATGTAAGGAGAAAGACTTGATATTTACCGTACAGTCGTCCTCCAAATCTAATTTTGCTGGGTTCCCCTGTATGTAGTTTTGAATAGGTTTGAATGGGCGTGATGAACCAAGTGTTGATGGGTAACCATGGACTCACGAAGCAAGGTTCGATGACCTTTAAGAAGTTATATGAACCTTTGCTACTTTCTATTTGAACCTTTCATATGTTAACATACATACATTTCACGACTTTAATACATTCACTTGTTATATAATGTTTTATTCAAACAAAAACGACCCAATTTCCAGGGGCATCAGGTCAGTTTTTTAACTGCAGAGTGTCCTAAACAACATTGAAATAAATTAACCATGAAATATTTTAAACTATTAATTGATCAGAGGCCGAATTTAAAGAATTTGAGCCGCGGCTTAAATTTAATCAAATATGATTGGTTCCACTTAAAATCGGATTCATTGTTTCAAGATTTTTGCCGGCGCTCAATTGAAACCGGTTTTTGGCGGATTTAAGACGCGGTTCAAATTCATTAAATTCGGACAAATAATAAGATCAAATAATCCAAGTTTAAAATAGTAAAGTTTTACATCATATTTTTGCAAAGATATTGGGGTTAGAACATTTTAGTTTGTGATCCTTTACTTGTCATAGTTTAATAATTTCACGTTTTTGTGCGTCCACGTTAGTGCGCTTTCTAAAGTGCGTCCTCCACGCACCCCTGACCCTGTAGTAAAAGTAAATTCAACCCAAAGTCTGACCGCGTCAACCTTGTTGCACCAGCAAGTCCTATTGAGTGTCTACTTTGATTACCCAATTTCCGGGCGATACAGTACAAACTGGGACCCGAAAGGTTGACTCGGCTCGGAAATTCAAATGTAACTACAGCTGCCCGTGCCTTTATAAGAATAAAGGCGTTGTTTCAAGTAAAAGTGGCGTTTCCCATTGGCAAGAGTACCTTTTGAACCTTTGACTGATCAATAAAGACTGACTTATATCATCAATAATCTGAAGAAACGATTGAAATTGTTAATAACTTTGTTTGTACGGTAGTTATTTTTTAGAAATCGCAGGAAATAAATGTTTTATTAGTTTTTGTATAAAAAAACACATACTAGAACACCGGTCGGCGTTATTATCAAGACAATGAAGACGACCTTTATATACAAGTTTTGATTTCTTACAAATTATTTTTAGGATTGTAAGTTTACAAGTAAACAAAGAAAAGCTATTAAAAAATTTATCTCTAAAGTTTGTATTGTATTGTATTGATATATACGACGACAATTGCATACAAATACATC